CAATAAAGAAAAAAATTAGAGAAATCTAGACCGCAAAAAATTAAACAAGCGAGTGCCTGTTTTTCCTGGCTTTTCGTGAACACAACACGTTAGGCTCCTGTTGTGTTCCTTGGTCAGGGTCATTGAACACAACACGAGCCTAACGTGTCATCACGTGGTATATGTCTCGTCTGACAGGGGTGCAGTTCTGACTGACGGCCCGTCCACACTACAGCTTCGTCAGCTTCAAAAACGGTTTCCAACGCGTCTGCCCATTCACTTTGAATGGGGTGACGTCACTTTTCGCCGAACTGCATTGTGGGAAGCAGAGCGGAGCTTTCCTGGCGTTTCAGGCTGCAAAAGTTGAGCAATGTTCAACTTTTTAAGCTTCTGAAGCTTTCGGTGGAAGCGTCAGCCAATCAAATCATATGCCAGTACAAGCTCTAGCCAATCAAACCGCTGCTTGTGTGTCAGGGGCGGGAGATTCATGTGATTGGTTGTTGGTCGAGCTTCAGACACGCCCAGCTCCAAGCTTTTTTTGAAGCTGTAGTGTGGACGGGCCGTGAGAGCACCAGAACGTCACTCCGGCACTTCCAGAAATTGCAGTACCCATAAGGAGCCGTACACATGCTGCAGTTTTTGCGTGCCTGTGTCTTAGTTGTAAGCCCAGTGGCGATCTGTTCACCTGTCATACAGTCAATAACTTTGTTGTTATTAGCATCTCGTTAGCTAGCTATGCTAACGAATATAAGAAGCTTTTTCTACAACCAGTGAGGTAAAGGCACATCTTTATATGATCATTATAGTTATAAAAAAATAAGATAATAAGTAAACAGGTATAAAATACTATGACAGTAAAAAAAAGTTGTTATTAATAAACAGGAATACAGTTTGAAAGGGGAGTGATTTGTAAAATATCCATAAAGAAAAATAAATCTGCTTCCAGTTCTGTTTCATATGGGTGTTGAGAGATGTTTCCATCGATCTCTTAATGTTGCTCTCAAAATGAACCAGATTGATGCTTTTAACTTCAACATTTAACCCCTAACCTCAAATTTGTATTGAATTTTTGGTCCCCCCCAATGTTGACTCCATGAACGGCCCTGCGCCCATGCATTTAAATAGTCATACCTTTGCCATTTTTATCATTTTCTTGGCGATCTCAATGTCTCCCTGGTGGTTTTGTCCAATCTCAGCAATGATGAAGCAAGGGTTACTTCCTCCGATCATTCTACCGGGACACAGCTCGAACTTTAAAGGCATTTTGACCACAAAGAGGTAAAAACTAAACAAGTGAAAGTAGCGTAGTAGTCTAGTGGAGAGCAGGATGAGAAGTAGGCGGTTGCTGCCTGTGACCAGAGCTCTTAAAGCGCTGCACCACCCAGATGTGGGAGGATTTCCGCATTGCGGGCGGGCAGTGGCCGAGCTGGGCGTTGGCTGATGTCACAATGGCTGCTATGAAAAGGGCCTTTGAAAAGCCTGGATTTGATAGCGTGTCCGGTAAACGTCCTCAACCGAAAAAAGAACAGGACAAACCTGTTTCTCTCACCCTGGGCTACTAGCTTCCACACATGCGTCTGTCTACTCCTTACATCTGTGAAAGAAACATACTGTATCTTTCCATTAAATGGAGAGCATGAGGATGCCAACAATATTATATTGATTTAATTTGAGATGAAAATCTTAAACTTAGAGTGAAGTACAAGTCATGTATGGTTTACAGCACTTGGTACCATTATGGTTTTCTTTAACTCATGTTTTTAATTATTTGACTTTATCTTTAATTACTTTGGTTTAACCATGACTTGTACTTCACTCTAAGTTTAAGAATGTTTTGACTGCTGGAAAGTGGTTTTACTTTAATGTATTTTTTTCGTCCATTGTGTTTACCTGCGGTGGGGGAACTTGAGAGGTGACTTAAGAGGGGATTCTCTGGGTGGTTATACCCAGCTGTTCCTCGTGGTGAAACATTTTCACGCCGTGTGCTGACAGAGCGGCGTGAAGTGTTCTTGAGTCGGCTGGGTCCATAATGGTCAGTTCGTTCTGTTAAGAACTCAGACACTTAGGAGGTAGGACCCAATTGCACGACCCGGGAGACAGAGGTAAAGTATTTGTAAGATACTTTATTTTTCCATGAACAGCAAAAATGAACAACAAAAAAGGGTCTCCATCAACTCTCTAGCTGAGATGACAAAAATGAGAACAAAAAGAAAGCGCTCACGTAGTGAGGATCGAAACTTTACGAGAGCACAAAAAAGGCATACACTGACACTGATGAGCACAGGAGACACAGAAGGGGTGACAGGTGAAAACAATCAGGAAATTAGACACACCAGGGAAACTAACGACAGACAGGAAAACACAGGGAAAAAGACCAGACAATACACAGGGAGGAAAACATGACAATGAGAAAAGCAAAACACCCACTACCAGACACACAAAACTAAAAACGTGACACAACACAAGAATCGTGACACGTTTTGCATAGTAGTTCCCCATTTTTATTTTACTTTAAAGAAAAAGTCAATGTATCGAAAAAGAAAGAAAAAATCCCTGTCTTCAATCAACCGCTGGTTATTAGTCTTCTTCTTCTCCATCCAACTCGGCATGGATCTTTTCAAGTCTTTCATTGAGGCGTCTGCAATTTTTGAGATTGTGCAGAAAAGCCTCCGAAGCACCTTGGATCCTCCAATCATCCGTGAAAATGTCTTTATCAATAAGAGTCTGGTCAATCTCAGAAATGAAGTCGGTGAGCCAAAGTCTTTTCATTAACGCGTTGTCATTGTTTCTGAAGAAAAAAATCGGGCATGTCATTCAGACAATCGTGTTGCCTCTGGCCGGGGTGACTGACTCGGCATCCATTGCAGATTTCTTCTCTGTACCGATGTATCACCCTCTCCACAATATCAACCAACACCGATTTCACTGTGTCCATAAACAGAGTTGGCCCAAGGAGCAAAATCAGCAGCAGTAGTATTGCAAGATTCGGGTGTCCAAAATGGTGTTGATGATGGTAGTCCAGGAGTTTGTTCCTGGCTGCAACTCGCAGGGGGAGACTTGGTTTTTCTCAGATCCATGGATAGTTTTCAACGGTCGTCTTAGTGGGGTCCTTAGTTTTAGATGATTTGCTGAGTGGAAAGTGGGACTTATTGAGTTGAATGGGAGGGAGTCATCTGTAGAATTGAGAGTTTTTAAAACAGTTATTTAAGCTTTGTAGCTTTTTCATCTATCATTTCCAACCAAGCAGCAACAGGGAACATTTTAGAATAAGTAATAGTTTGTCATAATTTTACGGAATAAGTCAAAAGTATAGTTTGTCAGAAAAAAATATATATGGAAAAGTCATTGTGTAACTCAATTCATTACAAATTAATAAATATTTTACCCAGTTCTAAAGTTTTGAACCCATTAAAGAAAACCTCATTCCTTACAAAGTACTTCATATTATACCCTTTGTTAAGTGTTGCGTACATCAAAGTGTATCTAAAAGTATCTTGGTAGCAGAAAAGAACTAAAATATGTAAGGTTATCAGAAAAAACAAACATTGTTTAACTGAACAAGTGTTTAAAAAAACGGCCATTAAAAGAAAACGAATTCCTTACAAAGTACTTAATATTCTACCAGTTGTTAAGTGTTGCATACATCAAAGTGTATCTAAAAGTATATTAGTAACAGAAGAAAAGAGAAAAAAGCCAAAATCTGTCTAGTGTCAGTAAATAAGTGTTAAAATCACAAACTGGCCTTTTAGAGTCAGTCTTTAATAAAATAAAATGTTACAAAGTGATTGACATTCTACCAGTTGTACAATGTTCCTACATAAAAGTGTATCAGAAAAGTATCTTGGTTTAAAAATGTTTACGGTTTTGCATACATAAAAAGTGTATCTTACAGTTCCTTTGTGAGAGAATTACACACAAATCTGCAGTGTCAGTAAAAAAAAAAAAGTGTTAAAATCACAAACTTACCTTTTAGAGAAACAGTCTTTAAGAAAAAATCTAATCAGACAATGTACTTCATTTTCTAGTTTTAAGGTTTTGCATACCTCAAAGTGTGTCTAAAAGTATCTTGGCAAGAGAAAAAAAGCCAAAATCTGCCTAGGCCTTTAAAAGAAACCAAATTCTTTACAAAGTACTTCATATTCTACCAGTTGTTAAGTGTTGCATACATCAAAGTGTATCTAAAAGTATCTTAGTAACACGAGAAAAGAGAAAAGAGAAAAAAGCCAAAATCTGCCTAGTGTCAGTAAATAAGTGTTAAAATTAGGGCCGGGACTTTAACGCGTTAATTAAGATTAATTAATTACACAAAAATTAACGCGTTAAAAAAATTAACGCATTTTAATCACACTTTAATCGCACTTATTTTTGCACAGCGGAACGTTTCTCACTGGATGAGTTTCAGGCGTACCGATTATACTGGAGCACCAACTAACGTTCATGACTTCAGCATGGGACTTCAAACAACAACAAACCACGGTGAACAATAGTCAAACATAAACAAACAAGCTGATGAGACCGCTTTGGTCGGCCCCGTGGATGGGAAATTTTGTTTTAAAAAACGGACGGATGGAAGCGTCGATAAGAGCACGGTTGTGTGCAAATTATGCAAAAAAGAATTTGCATATCACCGCAGCACATCAAGCCTAAAATATCACCTAAATGCAAAGCATGTAGCAGCTAGCGTGGACGTTAGCCCGACTCCGAGTACAAGGAACCACACCCTGACCCAACCCACACTCAACCAGATGACTGGTTTCAGGGCCAGGATAAGTAAGTCCACGTCTGAGAAAATAACCAACTCCCTGGCTCACTGGATTGCACTCGACTGTAGACCACTTGGAGTGGTTGAAGATAAGGGGCTGCAAAAGGTACTCCAGATTGCATCGTCTGACGCAACATATGAGCTGCAGTGACAAAAAGAATCCAGCAGCTTTATGACAATGAAAAGGAAGATAAAGAGAATTTATTGGAGAAAGCCGAATGTGTTGCCCTGACTGGGGATCATTGGAGCAATTCAAATTACCTCGGTGTGACGGCACACTTTATTGACATCAAGTGGCGTCTTCACTCATTTGCCTTGACCATCCAGAAGACCACCACTAGGCACTTTGCTGAAAACGTGGCAGAAGATTTTGAGTCTGTGGCAGAGGCCTGGGAAGTCACACAAAAAGTCACCACAATCGGAACAGACAGTGCCCGAACCATGATCGCTGCAATGAGACTGCTCACATTCCAGCACATGCCGTGTGTTGCTCACGTGTTGCAAAGGACCATCACAGTTTGCCTTGCTGACAGCGGGTTCACAGGCACATTGGCAAGATGTCGTAAGATAGTGGGGCATTTTAAACACAGCCCCTCAAACACAGAGGAACTGCACAAGGAGCAAACAGAACTAGAACAAGACAAAGAGCCACTGATACAGGATGTTTCCACAAGGTGGAATTCAACACTGTTTATGATCTCTCGTCTGCTGAAGAACCAAGAGGCTGTGAAGGCTACTCTAGCCAAACAGAAGCACAAGCTCACCATGTTGACTACAGCAGAGTAGGACAGACTGCAGAGGTTCGAGACCCTCCTTAAACCATGCAGGTAAACACCCACCAACTGTTTTATTAATGGGATTAATTCATCATTGCTGTCCCTTGAAAAACGTTGTGAATTGACTATGATTGTGCAGTATAAATTAAATTGCTTTTCCAAAATGTATTGTACTGAATATCAATATCACTATGACTATAGTATAAAGTTGCTACTGTTTTTAATCTACTATTAATTGGTACAATAATAAATCACTTTCCTAAACTATCCACTGCAGATATGTGACTGAGCTCCTTGGGGGTGAGACTTATGTCTCGTGCTCTGTTGTGTTACCTGCTCTCCGCCACCTGACCCGCACCATGGAGGTCTCAGATGACGACCCAGCCTATGTGGTGAGGTTCAAGGCTGCCTTTAAAAAGGACCTGTCTCAACGCCAAGATGCACTCAACCATGGATGGCTCAGGGTGGCTACAGCACTCGACCCGCGCTTTAAGGTAACATGTGTAATGGTCTTCTTTGTTTTTCTCTTTTCTTGCTTTTTGACCTCCTTTCCCCTGCCCCACCCTCTTTTTCCCTCCCCCCTCTTTCTTTCTATGGAATAACAATATGATGGGAACCATGTACGAAAATGAATTTCACCCACCTTTTTACTCTGTAAATCTGTGATGTGACAATAAACCTGATTCTGATTCTAAGGACCTAAAGTGTCTACCAAGAGGAGAGCGAGGAGGGGTGTGGACCAGCGTTGAGGCACTGCTGCAAAAAGAACCAGACAGAGCCACTCCAGAACCCACAGAGGAGCCAGCAAGGAAGAGGAGCTTCCTGCTGTTTAATTCAGACTCTGAATCAGAGGATGAAGAGGGGCCCAACGGGGCTCTGGGCCGCTACAGGGCAGAGCCCACCATCAGTGAGACAGACTGCCCACTGCAGTGGTGGTCCACTCATGAGGGGGCCCATCCACAGCTTTCTGCCCTGGCCCGCAAGTATCTGGGCAGCCCTGCCACTTCTGTCCCTTGCGAGAGACTTTTCTCACTGGCAGGTAACATAGTTCAAAAGAAGAGGGCAGCCTTGAGCTCTGAAAATGTGAACAGGCTAGTTTGTCTCAGCAACTGGCTGAAAGAGAAGAAGCAGAATAAGTAGTCTTAGAGGTATCCTGAGGCCAATGGGCTTGTTACTGAAATGTTGATCAAACAGTGGCCTATGCAACAGAGATTTTATTTTTCATCAGGATATTGGAAGAATAGGAGGGATTGAGGTCAATCACTGGCACTTTTTAATTTTATTTTAAATGGTACACTTTATGTTGAACTATTTATTATGTTGTTGGTGCAACTGGCACTTTATGTTGAACTGTTTATTGTTTTGGCCAAGGTTATTGAGATAGTTGGACTGAAATTGATTAGATTTTTTAAATCAACAAAGTCTGTTATGGCCTCTGAAGCAAGAGAGATGTTTTCGAATAGTCAGGGTTTCCAATGTTCTAAATGTACTAGAAAGTATTGTGTTTTACTTAAAAAAGTACCACCTTAAAAAAAAATAAACAATGTTTTGTTGCTTAAGCTTATGTATTCAGTCATTATTCAATGGTATACTAAAATCCATGTGAAAATTGCTTCTCACTGTTCTCAGGTCAAATATGTATATTTGATTAAAAATGCGATTAATTTCGATTAATTAATTACAAAGCCTCTAATTAATTAGATTAATTTTTTTAATCGAGTCCCGGCTCTAGTTAAAATCACAAACTTGCCTTTTAGAGTCAGTCTTTAAGAAAATAAAATGTTACAAAGTGATTGACATTCTACCAGTTGTACAATGTTCCTACATAAAAGTGTATCACAAAAGTATCTTGGTTTCAAAAATGTTTACGGTTTTGCATACATAAAAAGTGTATCTTACTGTTCCTTTGTGAGAGAATTACACACAAATCTGCCGAGGGTCAGTAAAAAGTGTTAAAATCACAAAACGTGCCTTTTAGAGAAACAGACTTTAAGACAAAATCTAATCAGACAATGTACTTCATTTTCTAGTTTTAAGGTTTTGCATACCTCAAAGTGTGTCTAAAAGTATCTTGGCAAGAGAAAAAAGCCAAAATCTGCCTAGGCCATTAAAAAGAAACCGAATTCCTTACAAAGTACTTCATATTCTGTTGTTAAGTGTTGCATACATCAAAGTGTGTCTAAAAGTATCTTAGTAACACGAGAAAAGAGAAAAAAAAAAGCCAAAATCTGCCTAGTGTCAGTAAATAAGTGTTAAAATCATAAACTTGCCTTTTAGAGTCAGTCTTTAAGAAAATAAAAGTTTTACACAGTGACTGACATTCTGTATGGGGGGGTTCACACCTGAGCGGCTGCAGGGGGGCGTTGAAAAGGGGATGAGTATGTCTGGCTCTCGGAGGGATGGTGTGTTAAGAGTCACAGTCTTAAAGAAAATCTGTTTAGAAAAAGTACTTTCTACCAGTTGTAAAGTTGTCATACATAAAACTCTATCCAAAAAGTAAGAGAAAGACAACGAGATAAAAAAAGCTAAATCTGCCTAGTGTCAGTAAAAAAGTGTTAAATCACAAACTTGCCTTTTAGAGTCACATTCTTAAATAACATCTATTTAGACAAAGTATTTCATTGTTTCTAGTTTTAACTTTTTGCATACATAAACGTGTATCTTACAGTTCCTTTGTGAGAGAATCTTCCTTATAGTTAATAACATAATTAAACAATAATAGTTGACTTCCTTGTAGTTAATAAAATAATTAAAACATTAGTTCACAAGCCATACAACTTAAGAGAACATCCCGTTCACAAGTCATACAATTTCAAAAAGAAAATCCTTGGTTAACAACAACTTCATAGGGGCTTTTAAAGTTGTGTGAAGTAATTAAACATTAAAAATACAAGATGAGGGGGTCATTAAGATCTTTTAAATTATTATTACCCCTCTTCATAAAAGAGACTTCCTTATAGTTAATAAAGTAATTACACATTAATTCACAAGCCATACAACTTAAAAAAAGAAGATCTTTAGTGAACACAAATCATACTAAAAAACTAATCTAATTTAGAGAGGACAATAAAAGTTTTAGGTGACTTAGTGAGTGAAAATTAATGGCTTTTTATTTAGTTTGAGCGTATTTCTTTTTAAAACTAACTCCACCCCCCTATCTTTCTGGCATAGGATAACAGCAAAATCAGGGCGTGACAGGAGGGGGGAGAGAAAGCGGAGGAGAAGAAGGGGTGTGAGGGGGGCGGGGGGAGACAGTCTCACACATCCAGACTCTATTTTTCATGAAGAGCCTCAGACGGAGGGTCTGAACCCGGCACAGATACTGCATCCGTTTCTTGATTGGCTCTCCCGACGGATGGCGGTAAGTTGTCACAGGCGTCTCGCTGATTAAACCCATATCGATGCGTCTCTTGGCCATTTTTTTTGAAAGGTGACTTGATGAGTGGAAATGACTGGCTTTTTATTTAGTCTGAACGGATTTATTTTTTCACCTAACTCCACCCCCACTATCTTCTGGCCTCATAGCGTGTGACAGGAAGCGGTGGAGAAAGGGGGAGAGGCCGGGGGTGTGAGGGGACGGGTGCGAGACAGTCTCACGCACAACTTCAAAGAGACTGCCTTAATCAACACCTAGATCAGTGGTTCTCAAACTTTTTCGGTCAGGCCCCCCCTTTGGAGAAAAAAGTCGGGCCCCCCCCAACACAAATAGTCAGGCTCAGTGGCGGCGCCAGAGATTTCTTTTGGGGGTGCTGTGGGGTAGCTTGACCTTTCATAGAGCGTGCTCAAACATTTAGGGTTTCCCATTAATGTACCGGTCGCTACAGTGGCATTTTCTACTGCAACACTCCCCACGCACATACACTATGTACCCGCGACTGTTACAATGAAGGCTCGATATCAAGTCTCGGCATATAGGTGTAAGCGGGGGTAAAGTGCTATTTTTATAGGTGGTGTGTGGACCTCACATAGGGGGGTCCGGGGGCATGCTCCCCCGGGAAGATTTTTAAATATTGAAGTTGAAAGCATCAATCTGGTGCACTTTGAGAGCAAAATGAAGAGATCTATGGATACATCTCTCAACTACGGAGCCCCCTAGGGGACATGGAGAAGAAAAAAATATATATATGTTTTGCGAGATATCGCAAGACTTTTGCGAGATCTCGCAATACTTTTCATTTAGGTCAATGTACTTCCGGGTCAGTTCAGCGACACAGAAACCACAACAATGGAGCAGTTAATCGATTTTTACTTTGAGCTTGGCCTAAAATATAAAGACATAACATCAGTGCTTGGCAATAGGCACAGGTTTATCATAAGTGAAAGACACCTCAAGAGGATACTCAGAGCGAGGGGACATTCACGTCAACATGCATACTCTGAGCTTGCGGTCCTGGTGGATTTCATTCGCAACCAGTTACAGTACTCTGGGCAGCTTCATGGGTACCGCTGGATGTACGCAAAATGCAGAGTGCATGGACTGCGTGTGAGGAAGGAGGATGTGCGCTTGGTACTGAAGGAGCTGGAACCCAGAGGAGTGGCATTAAGGCAAGCAGGACGACTCAGACGAAGGCGTTACTTCTCCAAAGGGCCAAACTTCATCTGGCACCTGGATTCCTATGATAAACTGAAGCCATATGGCATTTGTATAAATGGATGTATCGATGGGTATTCAAGAAAAATGATCTGGCTTAATGTCTACACAACAAGTAGTGACCCAAAGTTGATTGGGGGATATTACATGGAAGCAGTGCAGCGTTTAGGGGGCTGCCCTAGACTGGTGAGGGGTAATCTTGGAACAGAAAATGGCTATGTTCGAGGCATTCAGCGTTTCCTCGTACCTACTCGCCCAGATGGCAACCATGAAAGCTACTTGGAGGGAGCCAGCACCGCCAATCAACGAATCGAATATTGGTGGGGTTTTCTTCGCAGAGAGTGCGCGGAGTTTTGGTTGTGCTTCTTTGGAGACCTCAGAGACAACGGGCATTTTGATGGTGGATTTCTGGACAAAAGCCTCCTTCAATTTTGTTGCATGGGACTCATCCAGGTGAGTTAATACATTGTGTGTATGCGCTGTGCGTGTGAGTTCAGATGGAGAAAGGAGAGAAAAAGTAAGAGACAGAAAGAGAGGAGAGTGTGAAGGAGACAGAGAGGAGAGTGTGAAGGACACAGACAGAGGGTGGGGTTTGTGGTTATGTGTGAATGCCATAATGTTGTTCTCTATTTAAGTTGATGCATATGTACAGTTCTTACTAAATGTATTAATACATTATTTTTGACAGGATGAGTTGGATGACACTGCACAGGTTTGGAATGCGCACACCATCAGGCCGTCGAGAAACCTCAACGTCCCCAGCGGTCGGCCAAATGTGATGTATGCTGTGCCTGACCTTTACCAGACAAGAGACTACCTTTCCCCTGTTGAAGACGAACACGTTCAACTGTGCAAAAATGAATGTGTCTTTCGGCTGGCCATACCATGTGATCCAGATGTGTACGAACTATGCCACATCTTTATGGGCGAGTCCCATCGGACTCCACCAACAGACCCATATCAGGCTGTGAACTTGTATATGCACCTAAGAGAGGCCATCAGTGCATCTCTCTAAATCAGTACAAAATTCACTCACCTGCAGTGCGCCTCCCCCACTTACAGGATGGACACTCCCCTGCAGTGCACCTCCTTATCCCAACTGCATTTTGTACACAATTAAATGTCCATATTTCCTTTTACAAACATACACCGTGACATTGGAACTCACCATCACCGCACTGCTTGTTTGTTTCTGGGAGTATATAGCTCTTATGCCTGTAGTTTCTTTCACAAAGTAGTAATACTACTCACTGCATTTGCTTGATGAACTTAGGTCATGTGTGTGCATAGTTCATATAATTAATTTGAAATGTAATCTTTAAGTTGACTAATTATTTAGAATATGTCAGTAAAGTCTAAGCTGTTGAATATTTTAGATTCTGGAGACACCAGTCCTGTTAAGGTGTTATGAACTGTAAGATGACTCAAATACTGCCTCGTCAACATCACTCCCCCCTTTTATATACATGTGATGGCATGACCCTGTCCTCACTGTGCAGCTCCTTCAGTGACCGGCTCTCGGAGAGAGAGAGCAGCGGTCAGACTATATAACCAGCACAGCCCCTAGACCGCCCCACACACAATCACACAGACTATAACACCCCCTGTTGTTAAATACCAACCAACTATGTGCAATATATATATATATATATATATATATATATATATATATGCCGTTAATAACTGTGCAATATATATATATATATATGCCGTTAATAACTGCAATATATACCTGGCTGCTAAATCCTCAGAACTGTTACAGGGTGTGTATTTTGTAAATTGTCTAACTTCTTTAAATTATAATTTGTTTATCTTTAATACTTTTGTATGCATGCTTCTTAGGTAACATTAAGCTGTCTTTGGCTCTTTTCTGCTGTAACAATGTAAATGTCCCCTCTGTTGAACTAATAAAGGTATTCTGATTCTGATGTGTTTTCGAACTGTGAAACAAAAATAGTCTGTGTGAAAATGTATAGGACTTTACTAATGCTAGAACCAAGTAGTACGAACATCAAGTTACATGTAATTTACAGAAAATACAGTGATGCCTGTGTTGCCAAGCACTTTAATGTCAGAAAGGGGTAGAAAATAACAGCACAAGCTGATCTTTTAACAGTGTGGAAATATTAATAATAATGTTGTATTGTTATCTAGTGTGAAATCCTGGCCTGCAACCCTGATTACATTTAAAATGTGCCTAATCAGTTTGGTTTGTCAATGTATTAAGACCAATTGAGAAATAAAACATTGCACATTATGTATAAGTCACTTCATATGCACACGATTTCTGTTTCTTAAAAAAATAGCATTGAGTTATAATTCGGTACCATGTTAAGTTGGCAGTAAATGAAAGTGATATGTTGGTAATATCATGTATATATCACGGCCAATTGTGTATATTAGGGCTTGTAATTAGAGGCTAGTCTTTTCAGGCCACATTTCACATTTTCAACATCGGCTTTTTGCAAACAGGATCTAACAGAACTATTTTCCACATTCAATTTCAAACATTGTTTTTCCGAGAGTTATCAAAAAGGACTGACTCTTTAACACCATAACATCAACAATTCGACCAGTGACGGACAACACCGTTTAGCTTTCTTAGTTGCAAAAAAAACACACAATATTAATCTCAGCCTCTAAACTGGGTTAGGATCAAACTGACAAAAATAAAAACTGCAGTCATTCTCAAAGCGTATAAAAAAAAAAGGTAATATCCTTGTTAAAGCAGAAAATAGAATTGCAGACTGCTCATTACACGGTTCAGTGCATCAGTTGTTTCAATGACAAAACAAACAACAAAAATATCAAATCAAAATAATATTCCAAACTGTTACTATTAGGCCTGATAACGACTGCTCTCAAGTTCAAAGAATATCCATTTCAAAGTAGTTGCTGGACAGGATATTGTCAAATTCCGTGCGAAATTCAGGGAAAGAGCTGTAGGTACACGGTATTTCAAGGGTAGCTCCACAGGTATGAGCAACAGGCCTTCTGCTGAGCCCAGTTTCAGCATTAAAGCACACCCCAATTCTGTCAACACATATGACAGAAGAACCAGTGCAGAAACGCAGGATTTTTTCAGCTTTGGCTTGGTCAGCATTTTTCACATATCGTTGGAGATGGTTGAAAGTTGTCTGTTCTCTCTGAGACAACACCACGTTGGTTGTTTCAAACAGTTGGGACACTCTTCTGCCTGTGGCTTTCTTCTTCTCATACAGAGACAACACACTGTCCTTGTCTGGCAGTTGCAACTGTACAAGTGACATGGGTGTCAAGAAGCAATCAACGATATACTTTGGCTCTTGGAGAATGGCTTTATGAGCCATTGTTTCTATGGCAGGCTCCATGTTGTTCTTTGCAGGTAGGAAATGGGAACCCATCCTTGTGAAAAGGTCGAGCAAGTCCTCTTCATCACTCTCCTCCATTGTGCCCTGGAGAGCCTTCTCCACAGCTGATCTCTCAACAGGAGAGAGGTAGTTGAGAAACGATGTCATCAGGATGTCTACATCAACGGAGTGGACTCCATGAATGCAGGCTACAATGAAAGCCTTTGATAGCCTCACTGGCATGACACCATGGTCCAGTAATCCTTTCACCCAGTTCCGTCCAACTGCTTGCCATTCAGCCTCACAGAAATCTGGCCTCAGCCTTGGAACTCGCTCTGCTTCCCCTTCACACGTTTCAAGAAATTGCTCCCAGAATGCAGTGTAAACCTCCCTTGATACTCCATTATCATCAATAGCTTTTTCATTTACAAAGTCCATCTTTAGAGTCAAATGTATTATGCTACTGTCCATAAATACAGCCAAAAGATCTTCAACAACCTTTGTCCTGTGAATTGATGCACGTCGCGTGCTCTCTGGATTTCCTGAGCCGTGAGCTGAGGTTGATGGGGATAGTTGGCTGCTCGAATTTAAAAGCAAATCCTGTAGTAGAAGAACGAAACATACAAACACACACAACAAGATTGGTCAATGAATGAAGCAGAGGCCAAAATGTCCTAATTGTTTAAATGTTGAGTATGAATCAAGGTCCATATAATATTGGATTCTTTGTTTTTCCCATAATGCAACTCAAAAGCTATTTTTTACAAGACCTTTTTTCCAACTCCACCACACCTCCAGTTTGTAACACAGACTTTCGATTTGTTGTCTTCAATTCAAAGCCGAGGTAACACTGACAACTTCAGTATGACATCATCAAAGTTACTTATTTTATACCTGACCGAGCTCCTCCAGAGCTCTCAGGACAGTATACAAATGTTTTACAGGCCACAGTTATGTGAAATGTTACAAGAGCGGTAGTTTAAAGGATGTGTTCAGGGTTTCTTGCAGTGATGCATCTTACCTGTGATGTTTGCACTGTATCCTCATGTATGGACACATGTGCCGAAGGCAGGCCAAAATCAGAGGACAAGGGGAGTTGTAAATCCTGCATTGGTACTCCATTCATCTCCGCACTCTGAAGGATGAATTAAGTATGTTATTAATTGACAGCAGACACTTTGAAGTCTTAGACGTTATTGCAGACCGTAATTTACAAAAGTATTTCCGTAATAGTCTTCAACATCATCTTCTATTTAAAACCAGAAATACTCTGTAAAAATGACACTTGGAAAAAATAAATGGAAAAAGACAAACCTTCAATTTCAGAGACAGAGTATAATAAAGTCACAAATCAGTGTTTATAAAAACTACTGCACAATCACAAGTCAAAAGGACTCTGTTGCTTTCCACTTCTACTGCAGCTTGCTAAATAACACCATTTATTTTAATACAAGTTGTGCATGACTTTGCTATACCACTATACACAACAAATGGTAGTTTGATATAGAAATTATCGTAAAAAAGGAGAATTGTGAAGTTGTGCATGCCACCATGTATGGCTTATGAGAGATAAATTAAAATCTTTGTGGAATTCCACAGGTTTTCATCAGGTCTTGTTTGGTTTGTTGAAATGTGAAAGGTTCTAAAGCAACATAAACTATTAAATGTTAACCAATTTGCTATGGCAAAATGAAGCTCTAAATATACATGGGGTGAGCTAATATTTCATTAAGTACAGTAAGCGTTTCACAGCACTGTAGGTTATTTCATTCGTGTGTCCAAAGAAGAATCGGGGAACTGAATACATGACATAAAAATAAAAGGACATTGTACATTTTTTTCAAAGTAGGAATGCACATTTGAGTTTTTTTATTAATTGAATCGAATTTACTGACTATTGAAATCTAACAAAAACTACAGTATGTAATTGATTGAATTGAAGTAGCAATACATTTCTCAATCTTTTCAGTGTTTACTGGTTTGGTTTTAATACATATATTTGCATTTCTACCCCCTTACCCAAAAACGTTCCTGATCACATTACCTGAGTGACATCCTCATGTGTGACGTCATTCCATTTGATCACAACTATCTCATCACCACCTGCTCCCCAAAGATCATCTTCCGGATCCCATAAAAGTGTATCTGCCTCGTCTGTTGGGGTTGAATGGGAGCGATGTGATTGTCTTGGACCTTCTGCTGTCACAGTGTCAGAGGTTGATCTTTGTTTTTTGGATCTTGGTTGTATCTGGAAATGCAACAAAAAACAACTTTTGTTGTCAGCAGTAATTTGTAATAATGGCAGGAAGAAAAACATGTTTCACAATTAATATCAAATGGTGTGCACAAAAATACATACGACTACACATTAGCCTATTAAGCATAAAGGTACTGTACAATAACTTTTAGATATTCTTCAATCTTCCCTCAGAGTCTCTAAGATAAGTGATGTGTTTCAAAGCATTACAAATAAAAGTATGAAATTGCAAAAAAATATGCAACACAAAGAAATGAATGCATCTGACCACACATGTCAACAACAAAGTCCTGGAAAAATGTAAACATACAGAGGTGAAGGTATGTTGGTAACGCCTTGGACAAAAGTGTGTGCTAAATAGGCATACCATAACTATAGCTATGTAGAAAGTTGCTGACAAACTGTGGTGACTGATGGCACACAATGGAACCTTTCTGTTTTATGAAATCCATGTACATCATTTTTTTATTTAGTTATTACCTGAAGTTTAATATTCAAGCACTATCTCTTTCCATCTGTCCCTGTCATTAAAGTTACTTTATATTTCCTACTGCCACAAACCTGATCACTATTGTCGCTGTCAGATGAATATCCACGCTCCGGCAGATCTGTAATCAATTCATCTGCATCAACAGATCCATGTGCGTCTGCTCCCTCAGTGATGTCAACAGATGAATCTACAGATAAGGAATCTTCACTAACTGTTTCTACCTCAGATGGGGATTGATCTGTTGGGTGGGCTTCTTCTTTTGTGGATATGTAAAATCTAAGCAGCTTCAGTTTGGTTTGTTCATAAAGTCTGCCAACAGTGTCATCTGAAGGGATCTGGTTTCTTTTAAAATCACAGACTTCAAAGGTAAAGTCTTCAACTCGCCCTTTTGTTGAGTGGCCATTTGGGAAGAATAGCTTCTTTCCCATTTCCAAAAGCTGAGCAACAGTTGTTGTTTTTTCCACCGATGCATGTCTTGTTCCCCCGCCATTGCAGGTCCTCACTTGTTGGTATTCCTTATTGTGAAAATGAAGCCATCCTATTTCAATCTTCCTGGTAGTCTTTTCTGCTGCATTATTTCTTTGTCTTGACATCCCTTCACCTTCTTTTTGAAACACACCTGATGCACCACACAATGCTCCTTTTGTTTTTGATTTACTTTTCCGTGCTCCTATTTTATCTCTTAATGTCTGTAGAAGAGTCTCTTTATCTGTGCTGCACTTTGTTTGTTGACAGAAGGAGAGGACAGCTACTCGGTCACCGTATGAAGTGATATACTTTGCCATTTGTTCATCATTCATGATGGTTAGCACTGCCTTGTCAACCTGCAAAAATAAAATAGCTAATACATTACCAAAAACCATTCTTATGTGTACCACAAATAACGCATTTTTTGCTAGGTAGCAAGCTAGTTACTACACAGTACTAACGTCACCCTACCTAACACTTAACTTGTAAACAAACGGAGCTTATCAAATTCAGAAGTCAGCATTAAACTTTTTACAGAAGGATTTTTTTAAGCTGCACGGTACATGATGAGAAAAACACACAGTTTACTGTGTCACTCACGTTCGTATTAAAACTGCCATGCTACCTCCATATTACTTATAAAGTGTTTGACTTTACCAGGCTCTGTGTTGTTACGGTAACTTATTCCGTGAATTGACTGAATGTTCTACCCACCTTGTCACTTTGCATTTTCATGATGTCCTCTTGTGGGACCTCTCTCGAATGAAGAAACCTTTCCAAATCCTCCTCCATGACTCTTTCATCTGTTACAAGCTTCCCCAGAGTACTGTAGGTTGCCGAACTGAACCGGCCGGAAGTACATTGAGCTAAACCAGTGGTTCTCAAACTTTTTCTGTCAGGCCCCCCCTTTGGAGAAAAAAAAAAGTCGGGCCCCCCCAACACAAATAGTCAGGCTCAGTGGCGGCGCCAGAGATTTCTTTTGGGGCTGCTGTGCGGTAGCTTGACGTTTCATAGAGGGTGCTCAAACATTTAGGGTTTCCCATTAATGTACCGGGCGCTACAGTGGAATGTTCTACTGCAACAATCCCCACGCATACACACAGTGTACCCGCAACTGTCACAATTGGCTCGATAATCAGCTCACGGCATATAGGTGTAAGCAGGGGTAAAGCGCTATTTTTGTAGGTGGTGTGTGGACTTCACATAGGGGGGCATGCTCCCCCGGGAAGATTTATTTTTAAATATTGAAGTTAAAAGCATCAATCTGGTGCACTTTGAGAGCAACATGAAGAGATCTATGGATACCTCTCTCAACACCCATATGAAACAGAACTGTAAACAGATTTACTTTTTCTTTATGGATATTTTACAAATCACCCTTTTAAACTCTATTCTTGTTTTACTGTCATATAGTATTTCATACCTGTTTTTCATTTATTCTCTTGTTTTTTTATAACTATAATGGTCATATAAACGTGTGCCTCAGAAATAATTGTTTACATTAATGGTGACCAACAATTTGAGACCCACTGAGATAACACTGAGAGAGTCCTTTAGCTCATTGAGTCTCTCAGTCTGACTCTCCTCCACATTGTTGTTGAACAAACTCCTTATATCCGTTAGCGTAGCTCGATAGTACCAGAAGCTAACAACAACGATCTCCGGTACCAGTGCGCTCTCTCTCGCGCACACAAAATGGCTCGTTCCACACACACGGAGCCGAGCTTTAATGATACACAGAGACCCAGACGTAATAGTACTGTACTGCATCATATTATTTTTGAATCAATAATTTTTGTAATGATTTTTTTTTTTTTTTTTTTAAATCTTTTTTTTTTATATATATAACCATTTTTCCTCCTGGTCTCTCGCGCCCCCCCCTGGCATGCCTCTGCGCCCCCCCTGGGGGGCGCGCCCCCCACTTTGAGAACCACTGCGCTAAACGAACATTTTAGCGGGATCTCGCAAAGGGATTTTGCGAGATCTCGCAAAAGTATTGCGAGATCTCGCAAAGGTTTTGCGTTATCTCGCAAAACATTTATTTATTTATTTTTTCAGAATTAATTTTTTTTCTTCTCCATGTCCCCTAGGGGGCTCCGTACTCAACACCCAGATGAAACAAAATTGTAAACAGATTTACTATTTCTTTATGGATATTTTATAAATCACTCTTTTAAACTTTATTCTTGTTTTACTGTCATATATTATTTCATAGCTGTTTTTCATGTATTCTCTTATTTTTTTATAACTATAATGATCATATAAACGTGTGCCTCGGAAATAATTGTTTACATTAATGGTGACCAAAACGTTTGAGACCCACTGAGATAACACAGAGAGTCCTTTAGCTCACTGAATCTCTCAGTCTGACAGGAGAGGACTCTCCTCCACTTTGTTGTTAAAAAAACTCCTTATATCCGTTAGCGTAGCTCGCTAGCACCAGAAGCTAACATCAACGATCTCCGGTACCGGTGCGCTATCTCTCTCTCTCGCTCATGCACGCACACAAAATGGCTCGTTCCACACACACACACACACACAGAGCCGAGCTTTAATGAAACACAGAGACCCAGACGTAATAGTACTGTATCATATTATTTTCGAATCAATAATTTTTCAAAATATGAATATTTTATAATCTTTTTTTTTTTTTTAATAACCATTTTTCCTCCTGGTCTCTCGCGCCCCCCCTGTCATGCCTCTGCGCCCCCCTGGGGGGGGGCGCGCCCCCCACTTTGAGAACCACTGCTCTAGACCGACAATTTTTTGGAGCTGGAAGTGAACCGGATTCCGGAGCTAAGAGCCGGCGCTGCTGCGGTGTGAACAGGAAAAACCGGCGCTTTTCAGGCTCCAGCTCCAAGCCGGAGCTGAAAAAGCGCTGGTGTGAAAGGGGCATAAGTCAGGTGTCTTGAGTAGTCAAAATTACCTACCATTCATTGTACACATTTGTAAATATTATTTTCCACTTGTTAACTTTGTGAATCTATTTGTATGCAGCTCTGCGTGATTTTGTGGCTACAATTCAAACTAATACGCTACCAGAGGTGGAATAAGTACTCAGGTATTGTACTTGAGTAAAAGTATAAGTACTCAGATCTTGTAGTGAAATTATAAGTACTCAGATCTTGTACTTAGCAAAAGTAGAAGTACCAGAGTGTAGGAATACTCTGTCACAGTAAAAGTCCTGCATTCAAAATATTCCTCAAGTGAAAGTAGAAAAGTATTCTCATCCAAATATAGTTAAAGTAGCGACAGTAAAAGTAGTCATTGTGCAGATTGGTCCATTTCATAATATATGATATGTTTTATAATGATTGATCATGAAAGTGTTCTCAAAGCTGGTAAAGGTGCAGCTAGTTTGAATGACTTTGTATACTGCAGGGTAGCTTGTGGATTTACTCCAGGTGGAACTAAAGTATGATTTAACACTTGATTAGATTTCACATCATTCATCCTGATCTGTAAAGTAACTAAAGGTATTAAATACATGTAGTGGAGTAGAAGTACACCATGTACCTCTGAACTGTAGAGGAGTAGAAGTACACCATGTACCTCTGAACTGTAGTGGAGTAGAAGTACACCATGTACCTCTGAACTGTATAGGAGTAGAAGCACACCATGTACCTCTGAACTGTAGTGGAGTAGAAGTACACCATGTACCTCTGAACTGTAGTGGAGTAGAAGTACACCATGTACCTCTGAACTGTAGTGGAGTAGAAGTACATCATGTACCTCTGAACTGTAGTGGAGTAGAAGTACACCATGTACCTCTGACTTGACTTGACTGCCAACCTAAAAGTACCTCAAAAATAGTAATCAATAATGTATTGAAACGTTATTTGGCTGATTGTTTTATATTGGCTCAGACAGGTTATATGGGACATACAGATGGGTCACTCATTTTGAAATATTAAACTTAGTTTTCTTTTCTTTAATTTTTCATCCTCGTGTAGAAGGCTATCACGAAACACACATTTGGTTGTTTATAGCATAAAGAACATCTGATTTAATGTGAGGTAGGGAAATAATCATTTGAGTATGTGTATATAAATATGTAATTTACAACAGCTGTAAGATGCTTGAAAAGCTGGAAAATGCACCTTGAAAATGCTTGAAAAGTGCTTGAATTTGACTTTGGAAAAGGTGTAAGAACCCTGTCAAAGGCTAATTAGATTAGACAACAAAGGGCCATGAGGGGACAGGGGCTAGACAGTCTCACGCATAACTTCAAAGAGACTGCCTTAATCAACACCTAGATTAACATCAGAGGCTTATAACACACCGGGATGAAATCACACCTACGTGTGATGACACCTCACCCCTCACATCAAAGGATCTCACACCTACGTGTGATATCACACCGAGGTGTGACATCCACCTCGAACAAAGGGAGGCGGGACTTGGCTCATTAGCATAATTGTGGGCGGGCCCATCTGTCACTTTTTATGCATACTAATGTGATGAATGCCGCATCATTATTACTACTTCTAGGGTATTTTTGTAATTGCTTATTGGCGAATAATACAACAGCAGACGGTACCTTTTAAAGTTTTACTCTTTGACAAAATGCCTGCTTTATTGTGTGTTTGAAATTCATCTCAGAGGTAGCTCTGCTGTTAGAAAAGCACACTGTAAATAAAGAAGAAGTATTTATTTTGTGCATCCATTTGGCTTATCGTTGTACATACGTTTATATGGTAAAAACTGAGCTTTTCAGTGGACTTTTTAATGTGCAAATGACAACATTTCGCGGCCGGTTTTGAATGCAGGACTTTTACTTGTAACACAGTATTCCCACACTCTGGTACTTCTACTTTTAATCAAGTACAAGATGTGAGTACTTCTACTTTTACTCAAGTACAACATCTGGGTACTTCTACTTTTACTCAAGTACAACATCTGAGTACTTCTACTTTTACTCAAGTACAAGATGTGAGTACTTCTACTTTTACTCAAGTACAAGATGTGAGTACTTCTACTTGTACTCAAGTACAACATCTGAGTACTTCTACTTGTACTCAAGTACAAGATGTGAGTACTTCTACTTGTACTCAAGTACAAGATGTGAGTACTTCTACTTGTACTCAAGTACAACATCTGAGTACTTCTACTTTTACTCAAGTATGACATCTGAGTACTTCTACTTGTACTCAAGTACAAGATGTGAGTACTTCTACTTGTACTCAAGTACGACATCTGAGTACTCCTACTTGTACTCAAGTACAAGATGTGAGTACTTCTACTTGTACTCAAGTACAACATCTGAGTACTTCTACTTGTACTCAAGTACAAGATGTGAGTACTTCTCCCACTTCTGGTTAGTACAGTGGTTCTCAAACTTTTTCTGTCAGGCCCCCCTTTTTGGCCCCCCAACACAAATAGTCACGAAATGGGCCAAGTGAACATTTATTAAAATACATCAATATGAACGTGAGCATTCCTTTGCTAGAACAGTGATAATAAAACAATGCTCCATAAGTCTGTGTGCTCAAACAAATAAATATATAATACAATTGTGCAATCCCTTTGCTAGAACAATAAGTTATAATACTTTGCCACTTTGCAAAGAAAATGCTGATATTTGGCAGAAAGTGTGTGTTATCGTTAGTGGCTGCAATGAGCCTGTTTTGCACATTTCTTCAAAACGGGGTTGCAAGGCAAGGCAAGTTTATTTATATAGCACCTTTCAACACAAGGAAATTCAAAGTGCTTTACAAAAAACGAAAGACATTATGAAAATGGCATTTAAAATCAGTCATTAAAAAGAAAAGATAATAAAATAAACATTAAAAGAAAAAATACATGGATAAAAGTTACAGTGCAGTTTAA